AGAGAGAGAGAGAGAGAGAGAGAGAGAGAGAAAGAGTGATAGAACATAGAGACCGAGAAAGAGAAGCAAATAGAGAAACAGAATATACCGAGTCCAACAATACCCTATCAACTGTACCATGACACAGTCCATATTTTCAAGCTGGCCACCCACGGTGAAGAAGATAAATAAGATAAATAATATTATATTTGTCTAAGTCAAGTGGATTTTTTTAGACGGTGTCAATATAACATTAGAAAAAAAACCTTGCAAAAATAGGGTGCGTTGGTGGTTGGGGGGGGGGGGGGGGAGAGAAAAAATTTGCCTTGCTCAAAGGCTAAAACGGAGATGGAACTAACCGCTGAACCCGGGGGTAGGAAGGGAAGTGGTCGTTTGCTCAGGTGATTGTCTTGGACAGGTTGTCCTTAGAGTAGGTTTGGCTGTAGACTGAAATATGTGAGACAGCGTGGTGGAATCAGGCTCTCGTCAATTGTTGGGCATGTAAAGTTATTGGTATCACCTTAAAGCGTGTTCACTTGTCTTTGTAGGAAAAAAATATCCATTGATCTTGAATGCAAGTCGAGATATTTGTGAATGAAGGAGGTGGGGTCACCTATTTTCAGAGGCAGAATTAGTGGGACATGGCCGCCAAAGATTAGTTATTACTTTAGCTTAAAAGTCCTTGGTAACTGAAAATTTACATTTTTGTGCCTTAAATCAGCGTTTTTCAGAAAAATCCACCTAGAAATGAGTTCTGTATTGAGCATGAAAGGTGTTGAGCCAAAAAACTAAAATTTGATAAAAATTCACAAACCTGCGGGAAAATGCAGGTTTTTTCATTTTGATTATTTTGACGAAAGCCTGATTCCACCCCGCTGCCTCACATATGATTTTCTAAAACCCATAAAACCTGTTTACCTAAGTCTTGTTGTGTGTATGCCTGAGTGCATCTAACCGTTGCAGCATTTCACTGCCGTTGCAAACGACCAAGATACATTTCTCCCTGTGACATGAATAAAGATTTTCATTGTCATTGCCATTTTCATAAAAGGCGACTGAAAGCTAACCTTTAACAGATAAGACTAGGAATAAGATTGTGTGGCGTCATGATGAAACCACGCGCTCGTCAAAATTATAATGAAGTCAAAGAAACCGGCATATTCCTAGCTGCTGAACAGGCAACTTTTATCAGTTGTTTTTTTTTAAAGGGGTAACCCTTTTTATTATTTAAAAATACAATGATGTATGGATTTTACAGAAAAGAGGAGGAAAATGTAAATTTGCAGTCTCCAAGACACTCAAGCTTTGGAAGTCAGTAAACTCTGGCAACCATTCTCTCGTTAATTTTGCCTCTGAAACCAGGCAACCTCCACCCCTTCAATTTCAATTTTCATGCCGACTTCTATTCAGTATAAATGAATATTATTGTTCATCAAAAGCAAGGAGAATGAACAAACTCTATGAGTATACTAATAATAGCTCTTTTCCAAGAATTGACGAGCGCCTGGTTTCACGGCGGCATCGTGACAAAATAAGACTTTTTAAGTATTGGTCACGGTCTTCTTCTTCTTCTTCTTCTTCTTCTTCTTCTTCTTCTTCTTCTTCTTCTTCTTTTTCTTCTTTGCGTTTCACCGCTAGATATCAGGGGCAGTAGACTGCTGGTTCAACCTGTAGTACAACTGAGTTTTAAGTATGTGTATGTGACAATTTTTCCTTCATAGTAGGACCCCTTGCCATCAGGCAGCCACATTCCTATTTCGAAGGTACTCTATATATTATTATTATTATTATTATAATATGCTTTTATACTGACAGGAGTACATTCAGTTTTGGTAGGAATATTTGATGTTGCCCTGGTGGCAGCCGAAGCCTACTCTTATCGATTTTAGAATCACCAAGAGATCTTTAACATGCGCAACTTGCACACGACCGGACCTCCGACATTGTTTCGCCCAAATCCGAGAAGGCTAGGCGTTGGATTCTACCTACCCTTGGATCAGGGGGGCGGGGGGCGGGGGTGGTTTAAAGACAGTAGTAAGAAAGAACCAGGAGATCAGTAGAAAGAGCCAAGAGTAAAAGGGGGAGGAGTTCAGTGGAGGCCAGAGCGTGGGGCAGGAGTTCGGGAGAGGGGGGAGGGGAGGGGGGGGGGCTGGTTATAAAAAGAGGTGACAGATCAGGATGAGAGAATAAGAGAACAGAAAAGGAAAAGAGACATTAATTATGCGAATGATACATGTATTTCCTTCTCCGATATGAACGCGCCAAGTGTGCAAGGGACATTACACCTATCAAAATAGATGTTTAATCTAAAAAGGAAGTTCAAAAATGGACACGGAAATAGATTTTGGGTTACGGCCATATTTTATACTTTAGTTTGTTATTCATGTATTTCCTTGTTCTGTCTTTTACAGGATTTAGTGAACAAACGTTACTGGGGAAAGAGAAGTGATGATGATTTAGTGAACAAACGTTACTGGGGAAAGAGAAGTGATGATTTAGTGAACAAACGTTACTGGGGAAAGAGAAGTGATGATGATCTGGTGAACAAACGTTACTGGGGAAAAAGAAGCGATGATGATCTGGTGAACAAACGTTACTGGGGAAAGAGAAGTGATGATGATTTGGTGAACAAACGTTACTGGGGAAAGAGAAGTGATGATTTAGTGAACAAACGTTACTGGGGAAAGAGAAGTGATGATGATCTGGTGAACAAACGTTACTGGGGAAAGAGAAGTGATGATGATCTGGTGAACAAGCGCTACTGGGGAAAGAAAAGCCTTGAGGTAAAGTATACGTTAAATAATGAAGCCTTTAAGAAACTGTTTAACTATGTGTCTGTATGTTTCAAAGATTTTTACTGACTGACTTACACGCACTACCCATATATTTTTCGGCACTTAAATGACCTTATTGTGTTGCAAGTGCCGTAAAATACCTACTAAAACTAAAACCCATAATATATTCGTTTAGTGTTTTGAGACGAATAGATTTAGTGCTCGGTTAAACATTTTAAAGATTTGTTTGTTTGTTTGTGATTTTTGTTTTTGCCACATGATGTTGTTTTGTTTTGTTTTGTTTTGTTTGTTTGTTGTTGTTGTTTGTTTGGTGTGTTTTTTTGGGGGGTTGGGTTTTTTGTTGGTTTTTTTTTGTCTTTCTTGTTCGATCACGATGGAAAAATAATAATAATGTATTCCATTCACAGCCTCATCTTATTGTCATTGTATTTAATACATCTGTCCCCGTCGTTTTATGCAAGAAAAATTCTGAAATTATGCAAACTCAGCCCAAAAAATGTGAAATTATGCGATTCTGTTAATCAAAGAATGATAAAGAAATTAATCAGAAATTATGCAAAAAATGATCTAATTTTGATAAAGTAATGATGCGGGTATGCGTGTGTGCGTGTTTGTGTGTTTGTAGGTCCTACGTGTGAGCATGCATGCATATATTATATGTGTGTGTGTATGCGGGTGTGTAATGTATAAGTGAGATTCGACCTATCAAAAAACTAGATCTATATATTCAATATCATGCATTATACATGTATGTACGTCCAAACAGAACATCGACTTGGAAGGCCCGTATGCCCCTCCCAATATCTTCGGCCGCCGCGATGACTCCACGGCCGCTGATGATGGCTCCGCCCCAGCTGCAAGTGACGACACGACAGAGGACACGCCCACTGATGACGCCGGGGAAGTCCAGCTGACTCCGGAACAAGAGGCGGAGCTTGAAGCTGCGGTGAAGGCGGAGTTGGAGGCGGAGCTTGGGGCGGAGTTTGTCGAATCTTTGGAGACGGAGGAGGCGGCGGAGGAGCTGGAGGAAACAGCTGACGTGTTGCACGCGGCGGCCGCCCTCGAGTGACGTCATCACTCTATGGCGCTCCCATTGGCCGAGGGAGCTGAGTTTGGGCGGGATCATGACGACGATGCCCTCCTTTGCTTTGGGAAAAAAATAAAAACCAATAAGAAAACCCCCACCAAAATCCCCCCCCCCCCCCCCCCCCCCCATTTAGAATGATGTCATGGGGAACCGAAGCTCTCGTCTGAGGAATATGAGGAGTTAGAATCTACTCTGTTACTGTTAAGATATACATCAACCTCGACTTTCAATGCTATTTATTCCTTTTTTTTCTGCGCCAGTGAGAGTCAATAAAATTCCCCCAAAAATGACAAGTGAAGACTTTTTTCTGTCTCTTTGAGAAAGAAAATAATACAATGGAGGTTGCGAATTCATAATTCTCAGAATTACCCTAGCATTATTAATTCATTTCATAAGTTGTATTACGGGATTTGGGGAGGGGGAGAGAGAGGGAGAGAGAGAGAGAGAGAGAGAGAGAGAGAGAGAGAGAGAGAGAGAGAGAGACAGAGAGAGAGAGAGAGAGAGACAGACAGACAGACAGACAGACAGACAGACAGACAGACAGACAGAGACAGAGAGAGAAATGTGGGGGGAGGGGGATATGAGTAATAATATAATATATTCTTAGGTTTGAATTGGTGATAATGATCACGTTTATTTGAGCATTGGAGGCAGTGTTATTTCTTTGGTGAAGTTTTTACGGGGGGCTGTTTGCCATCTTGATACAGTAATTGTTGACTTCAGAAAAATTACCCTCGAACCTAGCGAAATGAAAGATAAAAAAAGGTACATGTATTCAAATCACCTCCAAGGCCAAAGCTAGAGTTTAGTTGGTATCGGGTTGGCCTATCTTGTAGATGGCCCTGGTTCGAGTTCCCACACAAAGTCAACCCAGGGTGTGCTTTTGGGCCTCGACTTGATTGGAAAGTTTCCAATGTTCTCTTTGGGACTATGTGGTAGCCTGCAGTGTGTTCACCTCTCGGTCAAAATTCTCCAAGTCGATTCCTGACCAATAATAACTTTAAAAAACGTACAACTTCTCTCTAAAACTAAAACCATCTTTCGTTACCTGCCTTTATTTCCACTTTTTCTGGCCTGACCTCGGATTGTGGATGACCCAACAGTTTGTTTTAGTAAGATTTTTACGGCGCTCGCAACTGCATAATAAGGTCATATGAGCGCCAAGGGGTGGATGTTAACAGAGAAGTCAAAACGGGGAACCAGGCTTACTCTGCCCACCTCTCTAGTCTCAACAGCCACCCCGGAAATAGCATTTCACAAAAGAGTGACAAACATTCAAAAGAAGTAAAGGAAAATTGACGATAGTAGGCATGAGGAAAGAAAAAGCAGCAGTTCCCCTACGTTGTTCCCACACAGTATGAGCATGCCATTGATAAATCAGCCCATTTACAATTCTACTGTGCCTAAGAACATGTTAATATCCCCCCTTTGGGAAAGGCCCAACGACAACTTCAGTCAGTAGCACTGCCCTGGTGGGGGTAATAAACACTTCCCAAGCCACAACACAATTCAAATTATTCCAAAGCTAACGTCTCAAGTTCTCCCCTAACACCCTTCAGTAGGTGAAGAAGACTACTTTCTATATTATAGGAGAATCGAACTGCTACAATTCACAGGCAAAACGTACAGCTTGATCATGACGTCACAGACGGTAGACTTGAACATCCCATCACCAATGAGTGGCTAGAGATTTATTTGTTTTTGTAACACAATAAGGTCATATACGTTAGTGCCGAAGATTAGATGTGTTACAAGAGAGTAACAAACACAAAAAAGGAGGAGGAAAGATAAGGACGATAGATGTTTGATAGGAAAGATGGAGCAAACCACACCAGAGTACACGCCAACCATTCACCTGGAGACTTAGTGTAAGTAATAATTTCCAAACAGTGACTTCAAACAGAACATTCTTTTAGCTTGGAAAATGATAGATCTAAGTTTTAGAAAAATAAATACATTTAAAAAAATATTTTAATATATTAATTTGATTTAATTGAAGAAGAAGAAGAAGAAGAAGAAGAAGAAGAAGAAGAAGAAGAAGAAGAAGAAGAAGAAGAAGAAGTAGAAGAAGAAGAAGAAGAAAAAGAAGAAGAAGAAGAAGAAGAAAAAGAAGAAGAAGAAGAAGAAGAAGAAGAAGAAGAAGAAGAAGAAGAAGATTGATTAAAAAAATAAAAATAATAATACTTTGTTCGTCAATATTTGCTGATGACCAGTGCATTTGCAACAGAATACTTGCACATGTATTTCTTTTGTGAAATAAAAGAAATAAGGATTACGAGAACTTAGTTGTACCGTTTTCTGTGGCCAATGAGAAACCGAGACCCATTCTGGAAGAGAAAAGATAGCTATATTTAGAGCATCTAAATGCTTCAATTCCATTCGTGGATGTGCGCAGTTAGCAGGGTTCCTTTTTGGCTTCCACAAAGTCTATAGTTAGTTCATGAAGCCTCATTTTACCTGACTTGCTGCCCACTGATAGCTTGGACTTGGACAGACAGAAGCACATCATCACAATAATCATTATTTAGTGAAGAAAAAAAGAAAAGCAAGAGAGACAAATCGCCCAGACAGACAGAGATCACCAAAGGAAAAGAAAAGAAATAGGATCAAAGAGTGACATTCCCCCCCCCCTCCCCCCACCTCAAAAGAAAAGCACTTGAAAATAAAATAAAAATAATAAAAATCCGAAACAAAACAAACATCTCCTCGATTAGTTCTGTATTTATTTTTACAGTACATTCATTCTACACACAAAAAGATCCAAACATGTTCAGCCCGCAGCATGAATTACAACAGTATTACAAGTTGTAAAGCCATTTATCTCGGATAAAAATGTGAGGCAGCATAGTGAAATCAGGCGCTTGTCAAAATTGCGAAATCGGAGAAACAGGTAAGTATCTTTCCGCCAGTTTGGAAATTTTGATCGAATTTTCATTTTTTGGCTCAACCTCTTTAATGTCCATAAAAAAACATATTTCCAAGTGAATTTTAATGAAAAACACTTGTTAAAGGCACAAAATATGTCATTTTTCAGTTTTCAAAGACTCTTTAGCTATTAAAGTCATCAAACTTTGGTGGCCATATCTCGCTAATTTCACCACTGAAACCAGACGACCTCACTTCCTTCAATCGCAAATATCCCGAGTTCTATCCAAGATAAATGGATATTTATTTCATTGGAGGCAAGGCAAATAAATCAGCTTTCACATGCTATCAATAACGCCTCATGCCCAAAAACTGACGAGCGCCTGATTCCACTGCGTCGTGACACAAATGATGTAGCATAAACCTCAAATATTAAAATTCATAGCATAGTTCACACGAAACATTTAGATTTACCCAACTACTACTCCATGAGAATTAAAAAAACCAGTTTGAATCAGCAGTCTTATGGTACGTATTACAAAGGTAGTAAAAAAAAAAAAAACACCTAAGAAATGAAAAGAGAACTTTGATCGCTGATGTCTCTGACAGACCTGGCACTTGATGATGACAAGAAAACAGATTTAAAAATGTACACCTTACACTTCGTACTTTGGTCACTTTCATATTATGCACACTAGAAGGGACAGCAAAGATGAGAAATGTCCAACACCCTCCTCGACACAATCTAAATGTAGAGATACTTCAGGAAAAAGGGCGGTTTTGGCATATCAGTGCCGCAGATTAGAGGTGTTACAAAAGAGTAACAAACATAAATAAAGATGGACGAGAGATACACGACAATAGATGTTTGATAGGAACGAAGGAGCAAACCAGACCAGAGCACCTGCCAACCACCCACACTATGTCAGGGAGGTGATAAGTCCTACACTGCTGTAAGCCGACAAAAACGCCTTTGTTTTTTCATGGCAGTTTCGAGATAAAGACTTTTGTATTTTGTCAGTGTAATCATTTAAAAAAGGATCTCTTTCGAAATTCTAATACTAATTTATTCATAAACTAGTCACAGTTTCACTTTGATTTTTTCACACAAGAAGGGTAACTGATCACGCTTTCCATTAGCAAATAAAAAAAAATTGGCGCAAAAAAAAAAAAAAAAAGGCTCATTTCACTCCATTTTCATAATGGTCAAAAAGACAGTCAGGAATAAGATACTTATAAGGTCTCTGTGCATTTTCAAGTGACTGAGTTTTAGCAGTTGCGAAACAGAAACAGGCAACATATCTGAGTGGAAAATTGGCCCAGTTGAGTAATCTTACTGACAGTAAAGAATGTGAGAACAAAAGACGGGTTAATCCTGGAAGTTCCATAAGCATACATAAGGAATAAAAATGAAAGATAAAACACATATACACTGAAAAAAAAACAACCTCAGAACAAACCCCTACCAACCAAAAAAAGAAATTCTTAATAACAAAAACAATCATGGCAGAACTAGAAAAAATGTTCCTTAAGTTGGTGCATCCAGTTCAAAGAAGATTGTGGAAAATCCTGCAAAATTCACAGGAATTGCTGGTCTGTACTTGTTGTGCACTCAATTTTTAAAAAAATCCCACCAGACATATTATTATTATTAATACCATAAGACACACAAAATCAAAAGTCTGAATCACCCTCTCCCATATTTTTTTAAAAATTTGAATTTTCCAAAATAGTGGGTACCCCTAAATTTTGAAATATCTAAAATAGTGGGTACGCTACCCCTAACAATGACTGCAGCGGGACATTTTGATCTGAGACGGTCCTCAAAATCCAGGTAATGAAGGCATTCCGTCCTCGCCCGACCCCTGTTTCATCTGGGACTCGTAGAAGGCCTTGGAGATGTTCCTCTTCATCTCGTCGTCGCCGTCGTCATACATGTTCTTCAGCAGTTTGGTGATGCCCGCGCTTGGATCTTCACTCTCGTCAAACTTGGGCTTGGCACTGGTATGGGAATATGACAAAAATGCAGGTTTTAAAGTCTTGGGAGCGGCTGGTAGGCAGGTGCTCTGCTGTGGTTCTTTCGTGAAATATCACATTGTAAATATAGTCTGTCTTCCTTTCCTATCAAACATTTATCACCCTTTTCTTTCCTTCTTTTTTTGTATTAGTTTTAGTACCAGTTTAACCGCACTTGCAAAACTTAGTTCATATAAGTGCTGAAAATTAGAGGTGTTACAAGACAGTAACAAATACAAACAAAACAACAAAACAAGTAGGAGAGACAAGGATGATAGATGTTTGATAGGAAAGAAAGAGCAAACCTCTAATCTTAGACACTTATATGACCTATTTGTGTTGCAGGTTCTGCAATGCCCTTATTAAAACTAAAACCAATCTATAAATCTGGGCATGCACACAGTTAAAGTTATGGCATATACAAGGTATAGGAATTTTTATTCAAAAATTACACAAACTGCTATTAAATGTTTGTTTTAAGTTTGAATAAAGTAAAGCACATCCAAAGAAAATGGTCATTTGAAGCGGGGCAAAAGAAAGACAGATGGACAGAAATGACAGAGGGAAAGAAAAAGGTAGGACTTAACTGTTGTGCCTTCAAAACAATCACATAGGAAATGTTTAACCCTCTTTCCAAAATGGCTGGCTTGTTTTGTATCATTTGGCTTGACTTTCCAACATGAATCTGGCAATTCCAAATGGTTGCCACTACTTCTCTTTTGGACTTTCTTTTTTTTGTTGAGGCGAAAAGGCGTGTAGTAAGTTTTGAAAGGAAGCTATTGTTGATGAAAGTGAATCTGCTGATGCGATGGCCGATGACAGAAATACATCGGAAGAATCGCTTAGTGACAGTAGCTTGTAGTGACACTAGATCTTGTGATGATGTTATTTCAAGTGTTTTTATTTTTGGGGGGCATGAAAATATACAAAGAAATGTAGGAAGAGACTATTATAAGGTGGTGTTGTTGTTTGCAGGGGTTGATAGAGGCTTAGAATAGAATCTAGATCTAGAAGATGGAGAGTGGCCTGCGTGAGAGAGTCCAGTGAATCTGGATCTAGATCTATATATCACAATGAACTAGATCTAGATCAAGAATGGATTTTTATTGTGTGTATCCAAATCTTGCGGTCTCATAATGGTCTTAGTGATTCTGCAGGTTTTAGAAATAGTTTCTAAAATGTAATCTTGATGTGTAGGAGCAGATATTTCAAAAAAAGGAGGTGCCACTCATGTAATGCTGGATTATGTCACAAGTGTTATGCACCTTACCTCCTCATGAGAAAGGAGCACAAGAACAATAAAACGTGAGTGTAAAATTATTTTTGGGTTCTACCAGTTCATATACATGTTTGTTTCATGGTTTCAACTAAAATCACCTTTGCATGCATGCCAAATCATTGTTTTAGGCCCATGTTATCACAGCCAAACCATTTTTTATTCAGTTCTAAAGTATTTTTATTTTTTCCTTCCCATGAATTCCTAATCAAACTTCAACTTTACAATTTATGGTCCAAAACCTTCTCCATTATATGCCTTTTCAAAATATATATGGGTAATGTAGGGTCTGAGTGAATATATAAATCAACCAGAGTCAAGTCAACCAAGGTACCCTCTCGATGTAGCCATTCTGCAATTTTAGCTCACAATCTGGGTTAGTTCTATTTTTAGCTCAGCCCTAAGAGAAAGAGGGTTAAGAAAAGAAATGTGAGGCGGAAATAAAAACCCCAACAAATTTTTCTTTTAACCTACCAAAGGACAGAGAAAAGTTCTAGAAAACTTTTTGACATGACCTTTTCTGTCACACAACTTTTCAAATGCCAAAACTCTGAAATCACACCGAGTAACATCTAAATGATTCATCTACAAAAAATGAAAAGGACTAATCCGCCGCCCCTAACACACAACAGAAACAAAAACAGGACCATTGCTTCATTTTATACTTGAGCATAGGGGCTGGGCAGGCACCGGTACCCAGTACAGGAACTCCTGGAACTACCCTAGGTGGTGTCAGTACCGGCACCAGGCACCCAGTGCCGGCAAAGTACCGGAACTCAATTTCACTGGTACCACCTAGCACTAATGAGCATCACAAGGTTCTCACAATCAACCCACACTAAGCTAACAAACGAACACTGCACAACTCACTTACCTTTCTTTTGTCTTTTTCTCTCGTTCCGTTACCCATGGCCACGTTTTGGCTGCCTCAGCTTTCTTAAGCATCACCAAGACATAATCTGACTTTTTCTGTGAAAACAACCACAAAAGCACAAATATTTTAGAGGTACAAACAGAGCCATGTATGGGTGCTCCCATCTGTATCAAACAGAAAAGTACAGCGGAAAGTAAATGTACTTACATGGAGGAAAGCTTATAGGAACACGGCGGTGATTGGATTTTAAAGAGCAAGTGAGAGGAGGAGCAAGAGGAAGAGGACGAAGAAGAAAAAGAAGAAGAAGAAGCAGCAGCAGCAGCAAGGGGAACTAGAGACAAAAGGTAAAAAGAGACAAAGAAATATCTGATAGACAGATAATCGGAATAAAACAATGGAAAAGTAGGTAGGTGAAGGACCAACAGATCTAGAACAACTGCGAGTGAGATAAATCCTACCTTGCAATAACAGTCTTTGGGAACAATTTCTTCACATAGACGACTGATGTGTAGTTGGGAGACCTTGTTGGGGAACCGAACCTTCACAGTCAGAGACCTGCACAGAGAGAGGGAAAAAAGTACAGACGGAGAACTCGTCTTTCTTTTCCTTCTAGATCACATCCCACTTGAACACTGATATCTTTTATAAATAAGGGGGGTGAGATACAAAACCTGCTAAGCGACATTTTTGAAGAAATCTAAATTTTTCGCTGATGAAACAACATTGTTACCGGCTTTCAGATGCATACAATTTTTGGGCCCAAACCCATCACATACTTTATAAAAGCCTCCGAAAAATCTTTTTCTGCATGTTCGTGCGTATAGCAGCGTTAAAAAAAGCTGATTTTCTCAAAAGTGCTAAAATGGATGTAGCGAGTTTTGCATCTCAGCCCGTCATAATAGGGTCGTCCTGCTTAGTTTCTTAATTGGGCTCTACAGGTTTTGAACCCGGGACCTTGTGAATGAGAGGCCAACACTGTACCTCTAGACCACGATAGCCCCCATCTTTTTTTTAGTTTAGTAGAGGTTTTACATTGCTCGAAACTGCATAAGGTCATATGATCGCCAAGGGGAGGATGTCAACAGAGAAGTCCTTACAGGGAATTAGGCTTACTCTGCTCACCTCTCTAGCTTCAACAGCACAAAGTCTGCTTCGACTGTCAAGACACTTGAGTTAGGGGCACCCCCCTACTTTAAACATAAATACCTTAACATTCACCAGGAGCAAAGCAAACAGTTGTAAGGTCCAGTGGAAGACATATGTGACCAAGGGACTTACTTGTCTGTAAAGCTGCCTTGTAAACCGTCAGCAGAGACAGCAGCAAGGTTATCCAGTGTCAGGTAAAGCTTCATGAACTTGTCGGACTGGTCCCACGCTGAGAGAAAAAAAGGACAAGTATAAATGAATATATAAATAAATTTAAAAATAACTAATCAATAAATTACATGGTATTGATCTCACTGGGGACATCTGGAGTACAATGGCATGCACACATACACAAATAAATACATTTGAATTTGTTTGTTTGTTTTAGTAAAGGTTTTACGGCGCTCGCAACTGCACAAGGTCATATGAGCGCCAAGGGGTGGATGTCAACAGAGAAGTCTTTAAAGGGAATCAAACTTACTCTGCTCACCTCTCCAGCTTCAACAGCTATCAAGGTACCCCGGAAATAGCGGGTCACAAGAGTGTGACAAACATACAAAAGAAGTAGAAGCAAAATGACAATAGTAAGGATTAGAAGGAAAAAGCAGCAGTTCCCTGTTGCAGTTCAGGCACAGTCATGAGCATGAAATTGATGAATCAGCTCATTTACAATTACAATTCTACTGTGCATAGGAACTCGAGATGCTAATGTCCTAAACACACTTCAGTCAGTAGCACTGCCCCGGGGGGTACATTTGAATATAAAAACACAAACATAATGTACACACAAAGAATACCAAATACACAATATTACACGAAGGTGGACATTTACAAACAGTTATTGTGTTCACCACTGTCATTGTATCTTGCTCTAGGACACATCCCAAAGACTAGTCATCAAAACCCTGTGTAACTGACACTTGCTTCACAGTATTTGTAAAGTATCATGGCAAAATCAGACATATTTGTTAAAATAACAATTTAAAAAACCCAAAACAAACAACCCACCCCCCCCCAAAAAAAAATAAAACAACATACAACAAACCTGACATTTTTCAAGCTGTTCGTCTATTTTTATCTAATGTTCTTATTTGGGCACAACACCTTCTAAGCATCTAATGTCCATCTAAAAAACATGTTTCTGTTTCAATTTTGCTGAGGAACTTGATCAAAGGTGCAGAAATATGTAAACTTACCCTTTCCAAGGGCACTTGAGTTTTGAAAGCCATCAAATGTTGGTGGCCATTTTTTTCTCACAAATTTTATCTGTAACATCTGGTGACCCCACCTCCTTCACTTGCAAATATCTCCACTTTTCTTTTTTAGATAAGTGAATACTTTTTCATCACAAGCAAAACAAATGAATAAGCTTTACGGTGATACCAAAAACTTCATATATGTCCAAAAATTGACGAGTGACTGATGCCACCACGCCGCGACACATTTGTAAATCTGTCTCACTAACCACCCGTCGACCAGAGCCCCCATGGAGCACACATGAAAACAAAAAGTGTCGAGTTGTAAATAAAAAATTTTTTAAATCATTTTATAATGCCCTTTCAAACAGGTTTTACTATAAACAACAGCTGCGCTGTCAAAACTGAAGCCTATTTGGAGGGACAGAAACATCATGCACAACTAAAAAATCAGACGAATGCGCTCACTAACATCATGCACAACTAAAAAATCAGACGAATGCGCTCACTGGTCATCTCAATATTTGTATACGTCTGCGAGTCGTGGACACTAACAGCAGAATTAGAGAAAAAGATTCAGACCACAGAGATGAGATGTTACCGCAGACTCCTTGACATCTCGTACAAAGACCACATTTCAAATGCTGAGGTACGAAAGAGAATCACCAACGCAGTGGCGCAGTATGAAGATCTACTGACCACAGTGAAGAGACGAAAATTAAAATGGTATGGGCATGTCACAAGACCCACAGGACTTGCCAAAACAATCCTGCAAGAACCGTACAAGGAAAGAGAAAGAGAGGAAGGCAGAGAAAGAGGTGGGAGGACAACATTACAGAGTGGACAGGAAAGACGAAGGGTGACAATCTGAGGAAAGCAGAGGACAAAAATAGATGGCGAGAGCTGGTTTTCAGATGCAGTGGTGCCCCCACGGTTGCCCCAACCACAGGATAGAAGAACAAGAAGAAGAAGATTATACTAGGTTTTTCATTTATTTTGTAATCAAATGAATTATCACTAACCCTGTTAAAAACTAAGGTTTCAGGCTGTGTTTTTGTATGGTTTAATGGCTTCATGCACTTTAACGCACAAACAGACCAGTTGAAAGAGAGAACCATCAGATCACGGTTTTTGGGATAGGCCTATTCACTATAATTTTCTAAACAGGCCCATACCCCTTCACCTGACATATCAGCACAAATAACAAACAGACAAAAGACAAAATAAGACATTCTCAATGATGGTGGGAGAAAGGTCTTTTACCGTAGTTTGTGATGTTCTCCTGGTACACTGTTGTCTGTTCTGGTTTGTTCGACTTAGCCTCGCTGGCCTCCTTCGCCGCCAAGTTCTGAGCTGCCACCCTCTCCATAGTGAGCACTTCTCTCTTCAGCTGGTCAATTTCTCTGTCTAGCACCGTCTGGACACGTTTACGAGTAGCGGTTGCGCGAAGGGACTCATATTCTTTCAGGTCGAGCCTCAGCTGAAGAAAGAATAAAGTAGTTGGTAGATCAATCATAATTTGTTTATTATGTATTAAAACATAGTCAATCAACAGTCTTACAGAAAGAGTAATCAATCAGTTAAAATTGTGGGTGTTTTTTAACTATCATGCCATAATTTCAATTGGCTCTTCACTTTACATGGATGTTGGGTCGAAAATGTTAGGGGGAGAACAAGCCACAACCATACCATAAAACTTCAAACAAATTTATTTGACTTCATGATAACAACTTATGTAAATAATTGTAACTCAAACAAAGACTAAGAAGCTTGATCTATCGTAAGTGTATCTCTAAACTGAAAGTATTAGTATGACACCTTTCATATATGGTTGCTTTATTAAATTAAGCACAAAGGGGCTATTCAGAAAAATAATGTTTTGAGAAAATGGAAGGTAAAGTGTTTGCCCCTTGTTCAGTTTCTATAAAAAAAACAAGGAGAGTTTTCCCTATAACCAAACAAAAATATACACACTAATGAAACCAAACTTCTCTCATAGGTAGAGCAATGCCCAGTTTTGGTGTAGGTCAAGATTTCTGGAAACCCCTGAAAGCTGGGCTTGTCCGCTTGTCCTTAAAAGCGACCATATATGCTGATGGTACTTTTACACACACTTCTGTGAGTCGAAGGCTCCTCTCTAAATCTAGATCTGCATAAATAATATAATAACTCTGAGATTCCCCAGTCTTGGGATCCAATGCCTCTAGCAAAATCTCTTAATCAAGATTCCTCACAACAGCTTCACCTTCAAAAGAGAAATAGGCCTACTTGAACCTGGCTCTTTGACACTTAACAATACAGTTGAACCTACCTTAACGGAAACCTGTTTTAACTAAATCTCCCCGCTCTTCCCTTGATATTCCTCTTTAATTAACTAGATCTATATAAAACGGAAACCTGTCCAATGCGGAAACGGAAAGAAAAATCCACTCTGATGGTTTTATACCTGTCTAAGACGAAAAATGTTTTGCCTGTTCAGCCCTCATTTGAAACAAAACTCACAAGTTTGATTCTGACCGGCGGCTCTAAACTTGCTGCCGGGCCAGGAAGGGGAGTAGGGGTGCAATTTGAGGGTAGATGTTATCCCATCCATGTGAACCCTGAGCGATGAAGATGGTCAGGATGGTGAGGGTGTGAAATTTCACAAAAGTGCTAGTGAAAGTGCTCGAGTGGCGCGCCAGCTCGTCACTTTTCATTGGTAGCCAGAGGCCAGAGGTATGAAATTAGTTTGACCAATGCCTGCTGCCCTGATCGTACAGCCAGCTGAGAAAAAGAGTTCCTCGAATCATTGTTGTTAGATAGTGAGGGGAGGCATTGATCTTGGTATTGGTTGACTGTGCGGTAATACCGCAGTGTTGCCGTCCCGGTCCTTTGCTTACAGTGACTAACAGTGCGGCCATCTTGGATACAATGAAATCTCGCTTCCGGGACCGGGTGACGAAAATGGCCAAATTTTCAAGGCATACAATGCCAAAACAGTACATTAAAATGGTCAACTTCTGTTCAAGTGGTAAAAGAATTGATTTAAAAAATCATATTATAAAATCTAAACATGTTAAACTTGTATTTAATTTTGGCATAGCGAACCATGCCGCCAAAGTAATTTCGCGCCACTTCAGTTGACTTGATGGTTCATTTTGGAAGTGGCTATTCTCACCCGGGGTGAGAATAGAAATACGATCGACCTCTCAGTGAGAGTCTCACCCCGGGTGAGACTTGCCACCGTAGGCTATTCTCACCCGGTGTGAAACAAGACCTGTTTTTCCTAATTTCGGAATACTTTCTATTGATGTGGATGATCAAATGGATAAAGGCAAAGAAAAGATTACGTTATAGCACTAAAGTAAGCTAATTTTATCGACTACAAAGATGCTATGGCTATTTCACTTTTTGAATCGAGCCGAACTACGGGGGTCGCCATTTTGTTTTGCCCGGAAGTTCTCGCAAGATCTACTCCTCCGCTCTTCTCTCTCTCAATCTCTTTCTGAATACTGTCTATCAGTGCGGACAATCAAATTGACCAAAACAAAGATAAAAAATGATGTTAAAACACAAAAAAGTAAATTAATTTGGTCGTCTACAAAGATGCTACAGCTATTTAACTTTTCGAATTGAGCCGAACTACGTGGGTCGCCATTTTGTTTTGCCCGAAATTCTCGCGCTACTCCTCTCTCTCTCTCTTTCTCTCTCTCTCCACTGCCCACAGACAATTGTACGCTTTTAGTAGGCTAACAACAGTAGTAATGGAACGTTTGTTCACGGCACAGAATTTTACAATTTTTCTGTTATCACAGTGTAGAATTCTGTGGTTTACGGTGAAAGCAAAATTGGTTGGCCTAGATCTAGGCTATAATGGTGAACGCGCACCGGTTGAGAATAGCCAAAAGACTCGCCGTTCATTTTAGTCACATGTGTAAAGTTCCAGGATAGATCTATGCCTAGTCTATAGTGTTACTGTTACTGCTGTTTAATTAGGCTTTTCTTCTACTAGACGTCTAGGCCCTAGATCTAATATCTAGATCAAGATATATCTAGATATAGATCTAATCATGTATCTCTATTATACCCAGTCAATATCCATCCCCAAAATCTAGCGTGATTTTAATCAGTTCACTCACCTCTTCTAAACTGTTCCCAGACGACATATTTGATTGAGACTACAAATGAATCTGGACAGGACAATATCAGTAGATCTAAATCTAGGTGACGATGAAACTGTGAAACAAAAGTAAATTTACTGTAGATCTATTATTGTTAATCTTGTCGGCGTTGACGAGCAGTGCGTGCGTAAAGGAGTGTTGACTGATGCCGACCAAGCCAAAGTACAAAGTAGACTTCGAAGAAAAAGATCTAGAAATTTCGCCGATTCGCCGAGCACATTTTTTAGAAATACCTTTCTTCGTACTTCGTAGTTATGCCGTTTCGCTAGTTTTGTTTATGAGGCTACCAGATTCTACACAATAACATTATCTATAATTGCACATGGTCCAGTCACGCTCCTAGACCCAAAGGGCTTTTTAAAAGAATGGGGTAGCCAGAAAAGGAGGGTTTTTTGTTTGTTTTGGGTTTATTCGTTGTCTTTGTTTTGTTTTGATTATGAGTGAAAGGGAATCCCAAATGACACAACGACCATGCATCATAATTTAATTTTTAAAAGTAAATAAGACGCACAGAAACAGAAACAACAACTTAAAGGGAAAGAGGGGCAGACCTGCAAGTGGCATCCTCCTACTGCCTACTACAAGCCTTTCTGTTTGTTTGTTTGTTGTTGTTGTTTTTTTGTTGTTTTTTTGGGGGGTTGGTTTGGTTTGGTTTTGTTTTTTTGTCGTTTTTCTTGGTGCTTTTTTGTTGTTGTAATTTTGAGAGTTCAGCATTCTTTATTAATTAAAAGGAAAATTGTGCTATTCGATCTGAGCACGGAACATTTTGACATGTCTTCATAATACTCTGTTTTTTGTCATTGTCAAAAACTGCCTTAAACCTATTTAACAAAAGAATCGTTATTGTTATCTAATCAAGAAAGATAATATGGAGAAAAAAATATGACTCATGGCATTGTCTTCTAAAAATACAGCAGATTTTAATTCAGAATCTCGTATTTACGGCAGGTTGACGTTTCGCCGCAACTACGTCACAGTGTATACCTGTGGAAACAAGAATGATCGTTTCGCCGCAGATTGAATTCGATTACAACTAGATTCAGTTTATTACGTTGTGAGTAGTAGTACATGTAGTAGCAGTAGTAGTAGTAGTGTTACAGTAGTAGTAGTAGTAATAGTAGTAGTAGTAGTAGTAGTAGTAGTAGTAGTAGTAGTAGTAGTAGTAGTAGTAGTAGTAGTAGTAGTAGTAGTAGTAGTTAGTAGTAGTAGTAGTAACAGTAGCTGTAGCAGTAGTAGTCGTAGTAATGGAAGTAGGACTTTGAACAGGATGGGTTTATATAATATCACGACAGTGAAGATAAAAATGTGATGTCTCAGGTACAGAATCGTTGTAAAAACCCCAAGTTGTTTTTTAAAAAGCTTGAAGCTCGTGTAGGCTACTTCACGTATTTCCCGAGGTTGATGTGCTCTGTACGTGCGTATTGCTCTGATAGGGGCTGTTTGTTTGCAATTTATTGCGTTCAGTTTTAACTTTGTTATTTGCTCGTGGTAGTTCAGTTTTTTGGGAAACAAGAATATGTTTTGGAAGTAGGACTTTGAGCAGGATGGGCTTCTATTATCTATTTGAAGAAAAAAACCCAACAAAAAAACCCCCCAACAAAACAAAACAAAACAAACAAAGAGTCAACTGCAGCTTTTATAGCAACCTGTTTACTTGCTACAATGTCATAAATCTATATTATGTCACGTAAAGGCAGAATCAGGCACACGTCAATTTTTGTGAATCTGGAGTTATTGGGATACATTTAAAGCTTGTTCCTCCGACTATCTTTTGATACAATTAATACACAGCCATCTTGAATAGAAGTCGAGACTTTTGCGGCTGAAAGAGTTCGGGGTTGCCTGGTTTCAGAGATAGAATTAGCGAGAAAATGGCCTCCAAAGTTGGTTGGTTTCTTAATTAAGCTTGAGAGTCCTTGGAAACTGGAATTTACATTTTTTGTGCACTTGATTAACGCTTTTCAGTAAAATCCATAGGACAAATATCTTTATAAATTAATATGCACACATAAAGTGTTGAGCCAGGAAATAATAATTTGAAAAAAAAATTGTCAAACTGTCAGGAAAATGCTGATATTTTCGATTCCATTATTTTGACGAGCGCCTGAATTTACAACAGTGCCTCACAGAATCTATACTATGATTTTTAAACGTATTTCATTATACAGACAAGGATTGTTAAACTGCACTGAAATCTCTAAAGTGGACATGTGATCTGGGATTTCTTTTCTTTTCCTTGTCTTTTTGAGAAGTCGGATCATCCTTCACGCTTCCGCAAACATAGATGTATACACACTCACACCTACTCCACAGCAAGAGAAAAGGAGGGATGCGAAGAAAAGAGGCAGAGAGGTAGAAGAAATGAGAGATTAGGTGACAGCGTATGAGAGACTAGAGGTTCACAGTGGGAGGGGGAGAGAGAGAGAGAGAGAGAGAAAGAGAGAG